GGTTGGCGATGGCAGGGCGGACAAGAGTGGAGCGTCGGTTGGTCGGGCCGGCGGGAGGATGATGCGAATGCCTCTTCGCCCAGCAACAAGCACGTCCACCAAAAGACCCGCAAACCCAGCTCTGCCGGACAGCTTGACAGGCGTGTTTGTGGCCGGACGTCGAGCTGACCCAAACGTCAGGCGTCTGCACCTCAAAAACTCTTCAAAAGCAACACCAACAATACTCAAAGTCTCAGTTCTGAGTGCTCGCAGTCGCGATTGCCGCTTTCCTCCGCAGAAATACAACAAACCACCCACTTTGACACACACACACACACACACAGAGACATACAGAAACACGAAGAAGCAAACAGTCCGAATCATTTTGATTAACAAAATAAGGAAATGGCCAAATACATTTTTATGCATGCAAATCAAATTAATTCTCTGCGTTTGTGCATGCGCTTATGTGTGTGTGTGTGTGAGTGTGTAGAATGGTGCGTTGGTCTATTTCTGTGCAGGAAAGGAGCAATCACGACCGAGCGTTTGGAATTGAGCCAAACAGGGTGGCGAGACAATAAAGGGTAGGGGTGTGATTGCTTTGTGCTGAATGTATGTGGGGTTGAAGTGATACCGAATGGATGTGAATGCGGCCAGACTCATCATTGAGTCGACCAGTTGGACGGATCAACATGCTCTCTCCCCGAGCCTGCCAAGCAAAAGCAGAAACCTCTGTCCACGTTTATTCTTCCACTCTTCAAGGCTTCCGAAAGGACCCATGCAATGACTTGCAAGTACATGGTGCCGAGTCTAAAATTGTTGGCTAAATTTATGAATGGATATTTTTTCCATTTGGCAAAATACAAGACGCTTACTTCTTCTTAACCAGTTTCAAAGATATACTAAGTTCACAATGGAACAATGTTTGCTCTTTTGGAAGTTTTACTTAGAGGAAGTGCCATATAGATAGATAGATAGATAGATAGATAGATAGATAGATAGATAGATAGATAGATAGATAGATAGATA